GTCTCAAAAAAAAAAAAAAAACAAAAAACACTGTTAAGAAATTGTACAGGCAAGTGACAGACTGGGAGAAAATATTTTCCAAAATATATACCTGACAAAGCACTATATACCACAATAGTACTGTATCCAGGATACATAAAAAAAATTCTATACCTCAGTAGATAATATGTGTATAATAACACATAATTCAATTTTTTTAAAGAATGGGCAAAATATTTGAAGATATTTTACCATTTTACCAACTCTGCTTCCCTCAGGAGGCCAAGGCAGGAGGATCTCTTGAGGCCAGGAGTTCAAGACCAGCCTGGTTAACATCGTGAGACCCTATCTCTACCAAAAAAAAATAGCCAAGTGTGGTGGCACATGCCTGTAGTCCCACTTGGGCACCTGAGGTGAGAGGATGGCTTGAGCCCAGGAGTTGGAGGTTACAGTGAGCTATGATCATGCCACTGCACTCCAGCCTGGGCGACAGAGCAAGACCCTATTTCTAAATGAATGAATGAATGAATGCACGGATAGAAGGATAGATAGTTGATAGGTATATAATAAAGCAAATACAGTAAAATATTAATGGTAGAACCTAGGTTGAAGTGTACATACATGTGTTTATCATAAAACTATTTCAACTTTGCTTTATGTTTCAAAATTTTCATAATAAAGTGTTAAAGATTATTATGTGGAGAATAAATAGACTGGGGGACCAATTAGGACACTGTGCCATTGCATTAAAAAATTACAGAGTTTTCTTTTTCTTGGCCAACTATAAGCTATAATTTTATAAAACTTGGTTGTTATATTTGATTGTTTGACTAACCAATCTGTGGAATTTGATCTGTTACAGGGAAAATCCTTCTGCTAGCATCGACACATGTGCATTTCTGTCATCATTTGTGTGCTCAAATAGGACTCTGCTGATTGATGGCCGGGTAGAACTCAAAAGAGGCCTGCAGAGGCAGGAGCGGCATCTTTTCCTATTCAATGATCTGTTTGTTGTGGCCAAAATCAAGTAGGTGGACTACACACTCTCTCCTGGTTATCATTATAAATTGCATTTCCACTAACAAGGATACCCTTTCTACTCAATGCTTATTGTTAAGAATGCCTGGCCTCTATTACTATACCTAATATCTAAAGTGAGTTTTATGTTTGTTTTGTTTTTTTGCAAAAAAAAAGTTTCAATTATTTATTCATTCAACAAGTGTCCATTTAGCTCCTGTGCCATGTTCTGAATAAATGTAGGAAATACAGTGAAGAATGTGATGAGTGGTCCTTGCTCTTCGATAGCTTACATTCAAATGTGGGAGCTTACCTTATTGTGTGGTGGCGGGGGTGGGGGGTG